ATAAACAACTCACCACAGAGGTTCAGTACAATAAGGAAACCCCGCAGAACTTTTTAATTAGAGCGATGGACCTCAGGCAAAAAATATTGTTTGCATCACAAGAGGCAGAGTCAAATCTGAAGTATGATCCTGTACTTGTACAGAGCATGTTTATGCACACTATACTTACAGGTCTGCAGAATGATAACATCAAAAGTGACCTCCAACCCTACCTGCAGCAACCTACCACCTCGGATGAGCTGCTTCTAGAGAGACTCAATATAGCCTGTGGGCATGAGAAAGAGAGACAAAATAAGAGGCGGCAGACACCACAGAGGCCAGCAGGTATGCACATTGCACAGTCCAGTGATAGCAATGGAGATAGAAAACAGACAGCCCAGCAGCAGACTGTTACCCTGGCCGCTCTTCATCAAAATGGCAGGCTAGTACTGGACTACCATGGTGGTGCATGTCCTAGGTGAGTTGTGGCACCGGCACAGTTTCAACAGAGATTTGCACCACAGAGATACCCCATGCCCCGTCCTAGGCCTAGGTGTTTTGGGTGCCAGCAGCGAGGTGAAGAATACTGCCAGCATTGTTACAGGTGTGGAAGTGACGAACATGTTCGTGCTGGTTGCAGGAGATACCAGGGACAACCTGACATGGTGAGAGAGGCCCCTTTAAATGGAGAGCGGCTGCCCCCGAGGGACAGGGAGTAGCTGAGTTGGCCAGAATGTCCCATAGGATTGTCAGCTGGGAAAAAAAGAGAAATGGGTCAGGACAAAGGAGAAACCAGAGCTTACACACACAACCAAGAATCCAACAAACACACTCATGCAAAACTATCACTGACCAAAGGAAAAATGTGAAGACAAAGAAGCAGTCTACGGTGCCTGAATTGGTTGGGAAGAAGTGTCTTGTCAACTGCTATATACAGGGACAGAGAACTCAGGTGCTTTGGGACACAGGTTCACAGGTGTCTGCTGTCGATGAGACGTGGAAAGCTGAAAACTTACTGGACATTCAGTTGAAAGACATAGCAGAGATAGTCGACCCAGATAACCCCTTGCAAATTGAAGCAGCTAATGGCACAGAGATGCCATATGCGGGTTGGGTAGAAGTGACCGTTAGACTGGTTGGCAGTACTGCAGAATTTAATGTTCCTATGCTCGTCTGGGATATTCCTAAGGATAGTGTCTGCTGAAGGAAACAAAATGGACCCCGCCGACACCGCTGCCATCAGGGTTCTGAAAGAGAAGAGACCAAATACAGTTGGTGAGTTGAGACAAGTGATGGGGTCACGGACCGACAACGACACAACGACTGTTTGTATGCGTACTTTGTCATTGCTCTTGTATTATTGGTTTGAGGTAGATGATGTAGTCTGTGCCATGACTGTTGTTATGTTAAGGATGTTGGATGTTGTATTTGGGGTAATGTGTTATGGGTGTTGCAGAGGCTGATTAATGCCATAAACGTTAACGCTTATACGTAGGGGGTTGTCAGACCGACATATAAAACAACAAATTTGACCGACATAATTTTTTTGAGCTTGATGTGTAGGGTCGGGTAAATCTGAAACCGCTAAAAATAATCACACACACACACACAAAAAAACCGTAGACAAAACTCAACAAAACAGTTTTTAAAGTTCTAAAAAAATCTAGGACCTTTATAAGGCAGTGCGTGCCATCGTAAAGAATGTAAATATATCCCTCACAGACTCGTTTTCCTCCGCGTAAATGGATGAAAGCACCACCGTGGACGTAAATGGTCCATGGATGCACCACTTGAGACTTTATTATGGATGTTGAGGTTTATATGGTCTGTGGAAATCTTTGGGGAAATGAGTGTCCTGCTTCACTATGAATAATTGGATTACTGTAAAGTAAAAGACCCACACACAGATGCTTCTGACAGTGGACAGACACACATTCAAAACTTGTAAATGGTCTGCATAGCGTTTTAATCCATAGCAGTGTGGAATTTTGATTGAGTGTTAACTGCAAATAAAAATATTTTTCTGTGAATGTGTCAATGGAAAAATCCTGTTGGTCTACTGTAAATGTGCTGGTAAGACAACTGACAATTCCTGTTGAAAAAAAACAGCAAATGCTGGTTAGGTTTGTTTTGAAGCATGGCTGCTGGTTTGAGATGGTCATGTGCTGGTCCTAAGCAACTAGCTCCTGCTCAGGACCAGCTTAAATCAGCTCATGACCAGCTAAGAACAAGCTCAAACCAGCAGCCATGCTTCGAAACATACCTAACCAGCATATGCTGTTTTTTTTAACAGGGATGTCCTGAGCTTCTGGATAAAATATATAGAATGACCATTTTATGTTTCTTTTGACTCTGTTTGCATTAAAAAAAAAAAAGATCTGCACCTTGCTCTGGTGCATGAGACACGATAACAGATCACCACAGTCAGTGTCAGCTTCTTCTTCAATAAGGGACATCAACAGACTTGAGTTTCATTTTCCCTTCTTTATTTGCAATATCATACATTAGGTATAAATGGCAACAAGGATTGCATGGAACAGCATATATTCTTTTAAGACAACAAAGGCAGGGCTAACATACACTGCTACAAAATACATTTTACTTGGTTTATTTATATGTTATGGATCAATATTATTTATAAGAACAGAGATAGTGCTTTGGGTTCAATTCAGGACCTTGCTATTTGAGAGACAAAGGGAGCAAAATAAGGCATTCTGTTGATTTCGTCCTCTAAATGAAAATGAAAAATTCAACAGATGGAAATAAAACAGGTGGACTGAATCACACAAAGCAAAAGGACAACAGGGTGATGTACCATCCAATCTACACATAAAGAACAACACAAAGTAATGAAAAAATAGTATGATAAAATGAGAAGCAAAGTTCTTGCTCTCCTCTTCGACAAACACAAAACTTAATAGTACCGGAACAAACATGAATTGCTGACTAATTGGGAAAGGTAATTCCACCGTGTTTTTTATAATATGGGTGTAATTAATTAACAATTATAATTGATGACAAGAGATGACTAAAGAAGCAGATACAGTTCATTTAAAGGGATAGTTCACCCCATTCTGTCATTTACTCACTCCCATGTCTTTCCAAACCTGTATAACTTTCTATCTTCTGTGGAAGAAGATATTCTAATAAACATCAATATTTTTTATACAATGGTAACCAAAACTGTTTTGGCTACTAACAATCTTCAAAATATCTTATTTTGTGTTCCACAGATTTTGAACATCATGAGGGTGAGTAAATGATGACAAACTTTCCATTTTTGGGTGAAATTTTCCTGCAAGGGAAAGCTAAACAACTGAGGCAAACAAGCAATAATGTTAACATTTCATTCATCCATTTGTTCATGTATTCAATCATTAATTAAGTAGCACAGGAATAGAAAGAATTGGGCAAGGCAGATGGATCATCTTACAGTAGAGGAAACTCAAAGCATGCCATGTTAAACCTGTTTTTAAAAAATGGCTATGCAACTTTCTTTACAACAGCCAAGGTAGTACACATGATTGAATGTCAGATACACAAAGCAAGAGATGCTCTGTTGCGATCTCAAGAGCAGTAACCGCATTCAGTTAACAGTACAGCTACATGAGACTAGTGCTCAAAATACTGGATTCAATACTGGCAAACATCGTTGTGGCTACGCAGTTAGTGCAACACTGGTCCTGCTGGGTTCAGTATGGCACTGACGCAAAGCAGGTTTTTGGAAAGACCCAAGAAAAGAAAGATGGGAGTTTGCATATGATTTCAACAGATGTTTTTAGCACTGATGGGATTTTACGGCAAGATCAACATTATTAAATCCACAGAAATAAAAGAGAAGACATAAGTGAGCTGATCTAAACTACAGGAATGGTGCTAAATTTCCATATATTTGCTGTTACGTGACAAAAAAAGGGAACAAATATCAAACTGGCAAGTATATTAGTGCTAGAAGAAAACTGACACCTGTGATCTAAAATCTAAACAAGCCGATTGTCCCATGTGTGATTTTCATCTAATTCTGAAATTTATTACATAATTTGCATTACTTCTAACAGCAGAAAAAGATGGGAAGAAGAACATACAGAATATCACAAACAATATAAAGCAAAACAAAACAAAACAAAATATACAATATCGACATTAAAATAATTGAAATTGAGAGTTACACTATTAAATATGTGAATGGAGACAAATGTATCATATGTATCTGGCTTGTTCATACTCCATGCTGTAATAAGCTTATAATCTCAATTTTATATTCCATTGATAACAAAACATTCCTCATAAATACACACAAATCTTTTCAAGTGGATCCTTTTCATACCAAAACATGCAAGCAAAGGCAAGTTATCAGACCATAGTAGGATGCCAGCAGCCAATCGGCTCACATTTTAAAATGGAATCCGATCAGGTCACACATAACAGCCAAAAGCAAAGGTGTTTTGAAAGTACAGTTGAAAAATCGAATGGCGAAAGCACATTTGTAAAGGATTTCATTATGCAAAGTACAAGGTCATTTCCATGTCATATTACAATGTCTACAACAGTACACACCAATGATAACAATTACACAAATATCTACCTGAATATTAGCATTATAGTAGCTGACTGTGTAATGATGTGGTTAATACAAAATTACACATTTAAAAGGGACAATGATAATTAAAATGTGGACTATTAAACCAATGATAACAATTACACAAATATCTACCTGAATATTAGCATTATAGTAGCTGACTGTGTAATGATGTGGTTAATACAAAATTACACATTTAAAAGGGACAATGATAATTAAAATGTGGACTATTAAAGTGACTAAAAACATTTAAACCAGATAATAATTGTACTTCAGTTTTAGGGTAAAGGGACAGTTCACCCAAAATGAAAATTCTGTCATTTACTCATGCTGGAAACCAAACTACAAATTCTATGGAGGTTAATGGCTACTGATAACTGTTTGGTTACGAACGTTCTTCAAAATATCTTCTTTTGTGTTCAACAGAATAAAGAAACTCATACAGGTTCGGAACAACTTGAGGGTGAGTAAACAATGACAGAATTTCCATTTTTGAGCTATTGCCTTAATGCAAACTTGCTTTCATTCTTTTCCCTCAGTTGTAAATTTGCCCTAATGTCACAGAAATGTCACCTTTGTAATGTAATGAAGTCACATTTAATTGGTATAAAAGGTTCTTATACTGTTTAAATAGCATGTATTATTAAGTATAACCAAAATGTTGAAGCAGCAAGAGGAGAAATATGACATAACGATGTTACATTTTACCGTCAATTATGTTAAATCCAAACATGATGTAAATGTCATTCTGCAGGTATAGCAGGGATGAACATTTAGTATTCAATATTTACTTATATGCAGACAATGAGAATTTGAGAACAACATAATTAGAGCTTGACATAAATGCCAACACTTAAATATTTCTCCCTCTCATAATATCTCTCATTACTGAAACAAAACACACACGCACAAAATTTTCTCATGTTCACAGGATATTTTCTACTATGGCAAAAACGAGGATATTTTAAAAACATTTGGTGAATTAAATGGATAACGAGGTAATACCTTTATTATTGTCATTTTTATGGGTAAAAGTGTATATGTGTTTACTGTGAGATAAAACGCATGAAACATAAAACCCTTGAAACATGAAACCTTTCATAACATCTCACGCATCCAAAGCTCTGATTGTGGATTGTAGAAACTCTTGGCACGCTTATTTTATTTATTTTTTTTACCATAGAACAAACAGAAAATGCAAACAAGTGTTAAACTGGAGTGCCAAGTTGTCATGTCATACCCGAAATATGTGCAAATATTACACAGAGATGTTTGGTATTTTATTTAAAACATTTAACGACACTTACAATGAGAAAACACTGGAGACTCCAAAAAGTGAGTACTTAAACTGACACCAGAATAATTCTGTAAATAGATAAATTGGTATAGTACTACGGGGAAGGCAGAAACCCCATTGGCTTTGGCGATTACCTTTAGAAATCCTGAATGGGAAGACTTAGGAAGTCTTAGGAAGCACACAACTCTATATCTGTTATGGGGCTTTGGGCAGATGTGGCAAGATCATGCTGTGTCAGCCACCAGTGGCTTGAGATAAGATGGCGTCCTAGACTTTTAAATACTGGTCTGCACTAAGTCAAACAAACAGTTTGTAATGTAAACAGCACTTCCTAACCAGAATTTAAGTGTTAAAAAAAATCTCTCAATCAATTTTCAATCATTAAGGTCAACTCTTCGACTGGCCTACATTGAAATGATGTGAAAAAAGTGAAGAAGAATTGCCAGATTTTTAAACAAGACAAAACAAAAAGACTGGACATAATTTAAGATGCGAGTTGTGGTTTTGATTTAACATTTGTTAGATAAAAGGGTAAAGGCAAGGGCAGAGTTTTGGGGTAGTAGGTAGATTCACATTCATTCCCTCTTTTTCCCATTTTATTCACTGTTGATGATGGAGGGATGGATGAATTGAAGGTTGATGAAGGAAAATCCATCAAATTCAGCCTGGTCGATGTTGGCGATAACCAGCTCATCAGGAGGGGTCAGTTGTGGCTGTGTGCGTGTGAAGAACTTGTCAAAGTTCTCTGCCCCCTTTCCACACTATTAAAAAAAGGTAGCGAGAGAGAGAGAGATTACAATAAAGATTAATTTTGACAGTTTATTGTAACACTACAACCATGTAGTGTTAATCATATCACATACAGACACAGATGACACAGTCCAAGGTTCGTAAAACACATTGTAACGCAGACAGCAAACATAGTTTAAAGTTAGACTGTTTTATGTTTGGTTGGTGTTTGTATCTTTCATATTTTCCATGACAGGCTCACGAGTACTTCTGCACCTCATAAGCATCTTGACAACTTAACTAAACTACTGTAAGTAGAAGGAACATTAATACCTGGCACTCAATCTATAATTTAGTATACTTCTTTAACCTCCATACCATGTGTATGAAAAAGTACCAGAAGCACATTTATAATAACCCTATTATTATGACTAATAAATGATTCAAAGCTCCTCATCAATGATATATATACATGTGTGGTTTATAAGGTGTGCAGGTTACGGATCCTTTTTGTTAGGGCTTTCATGAATTGTTTTAACACAAGAACAACATTTACTTGTATGACTTCACTCAATGTTTAAAAGAAGGCCGTCAATTTAACACAATAATGAATTACAAAGAATTATTAAAAAATATGTGTGTGAACAAAATTAATACTTTTAATCATGCCCCTGTTCGTAAAGGAATTTTCCCTCCATCGAAGCAGTTCAAGAACTGCAAAAAGTGACACAGCAGCCATTTCATGCATGTGTACACAGACCAACAACTAAAAGATAGTGCAGACTGATCTAAGTGATTTGTGATTACTTTGATCAATTAATTTGCATACCATGTAATTAAAAAATATCTTTAATCGACTGACGTCCGAAATTTAATGTACACAAACAGTTACAAGAAAGAAAGAAAGGATATGGACTTTCCTTTTGTAAAGCTGCCAGATTCTATAAGACATGCAGCTCAAGATGTGCCTTAAAATAGAAGACAACCCTCCCCCTTGTATGATATTTGAAAGGAGAGATGAATGGTGACTCAAAAACTGAGAGAAATGGTCAAATGTAAATGCCTTGTCATGCTCTCTTATGAGGAAGATCTTCCCATCATATGTGAATGATGAGACACTGAGGGGGATTCTATCTGGTTGTGTTCTAACAAGCATGCAGATCAATTAAAGTTGCAACTGTCATAATCACACACAAACACAGAGACCATAAAAAAAGCCATTTTTCAGACACAGAGGTCCATGTAGGGCACTTCCTACGTCAGCAGTGGAACTAATGATTGGCTAAATGTTTAAAATGGTAGCTGTGCTGAATTAAGCCTGTTTAACCCCCACCATTAGTGTGAAAGGGACATGGGCTCTGTCTCTGGCCTACTTTTGACCATGAGAGGAAGCTGCAGTTCAGCTTCAGGATGTCCTGAGGGGACATCAGACAATTGTTGAAAACAAACAAACAAAAATATTAAAAGTGACAGGTGATGTTCATAACACACTCACACTAACACAGAAGACTAAAAAATAGGACATCATAAGAAACAAGTACTCGAGACAAACTAACCATTCTCTTCTTTTCTGGTTTGTCCCCAGTGATGTGACAGAATGACCTATTCAAAGATATATGTGTGGGAGAGCATGTGTGCTTGTGAAGGGGAAACAACTACAGTATGACCCAATTTAGAAGTCATATGAATCAAGCTCATCCCTCTCTCTCGCTCTCGCCCACTCATACAACACACACACACACACACACACATTGTGTTTCCATGTTTTATGGTGACATTCCATAGGCGAAATGGTTTTTATACTGTACAAACTGTATGTGCTATTGCCCTACACCAACCCTACCCCTAAACGTAAAACACCAAGAACAATCTAAGCTATTTAATATGACAAATGGCTCTATCTCGGCAAAATATTCTCACTTCCTCCACAGGCGCTGTCTCAGAAAGGCAATACCAATTCATAACATTTAAAAGTTTAAAAAAACAAAACAAAAAAAAAACAGTGAAAACTAGAATTATTAGAACAAATATCAGAAGGCACAGAAATTATAAATAGCAATAAGCATTCATCAGGACAGGCAGATGATTACACATTAGTGTCATTGGTTTTCATTGCATTGCATTTTATTGCATTGTAATTTTTACAGAAAAAATGTTATAGTAAAAACCTGGTAATTGGTTAACTTTATATACTTAATAAAGTTACTTTACCATATACTGTGAACATTACTGTAATTTTACTGTTACATACTGTCATGATTGTTATGTGATTGTTACTTTTATAATTTTGGATATAAAAAATTATATGGACAGTGCACATATTGTACCGCCTGTATTATCATGGTGGTTATCAGTGCATTCTTAGGTAAAAATGGTTTTGGTAGTTCAAGTAGACTATTATATTAACATATCACTTTATAAAATATACAGTTATACGTATACGCACCAATATTCCATCCCATAATACCTGAAACACTTTCTTAAAGTGTTTTTTATTTTTTATTATTTTTTTAAGTGAATTTCTGGCAAACAGAAATATACAGAAATATAATAACATTTACTCTCCTGTATCTTAATCACCATAATTATTTTGCAATATTTTAATATTCATGCCTTTTCAGGGCCACTTCACCATTAAAACTTTCAGTCATTAAAACCCAGCAAGAGCTCTTAGTTTTTTTCATCAGTATATGATAAATACACACTTAAGTGGGAAATGAATAGACCTGAATGGATTTTCTTACCACTTTGGGTTTGAATGGAGGCTGTATTTCTCTGTTTTCCAGGCGTTCCCAGTCAATCCGACGGAAGAAAGCATGTTCCCTAATATCTCTTTCCCCCTCTGGGCTGCAGCCCAGACGCTTTGAAGAGTGTTTTGTCATCAGCTGAGACACAAGACAAAATATAATCATTATTGTCTAAACAGAAAAAGGCTTAAGTTGACAGTCATAAAATTAGCACATAATATATATTTCTAGAACTAAAAAAAAGTTTTCAGTTTACAGGCATATGCTCATCTTTAAATTTCATGATAACACACAATTTCAAATGTGGGTAGACCAATTGCATGGACATGAACATTTTGTCAACAATTAGTCTAGGTTCAATTGCATATGAATGTCTATTGTGAAAGTGTAACTGGTCATCATTTCATTTTCCATTTATTCTGTGTAGTTTCTTAATATGAAGTCATAAAAAAAGATAACCCTAACAGCTAACCACCTTCAAGACATACTCATTCTCCATGGTCATGATAGACCTAAACTGCAGATAAAGATGTGTAAACTCAAATAGTAATGCTAAAATCTGTTTGTTGGTTTTTTGGGACTAATATTTGATCACACTAGTTTGGGGACCAATTCTCACTTTTAACTAACTATTAACTATGACTTTTGCCTCAATAAACTCCTAATTTGCTGCTTATTAATAGTTAGTAAGGTAGTTGTTAATTTTAGGTATTGGGTAGGATTAAGCAATCTAAAATATAATCATGCAGAATAAGGCATTAATATGTGCTTTATATGTACCAATGTACAGCCAATATGCTAATATGCATGCTAATAAGCAACTAGTTAACTGGTCCTTAAACTAAACTGTTACAGAATATTTCACAGACCCAACACGATGCAAAGAACTTTACAAACTTTGGCAATTCCAACAGCTATATGGTTCTAAGAAGTACTCAGTTTAACAGCCTGCTAACTAAAGAGAAAGTTGTCATGTTTTCATTATTAAATGGTGACTTAAATTTGCCAGGAAAATTGATTTCAGGTAAATTTCTAATTAATTATCCCCCTATAGTCCTGGGCTTTTCTAGGTCAGCTTCTCCATTAGTAAGCGGCACAGTTTATAAGACACACACACAAATTTCAAAACACCCAGAAATGAAAACAGATGAACTTATAGCTCTACCACTGACAAAAAGACAGAAGGTGATAGAGAACATTATAAAAGTGAGACAGTGTGTGATGACACAAATCATCAGCTGTGCTGTGTCCTGCTTGCACCATTATTTCTTTCTTTACCTAGCAGGATGTTCTTACAATAAAAATTGCAAAAAGTATTATGGTATTACTGTGGTATTCCTGAAAGTACCTGAAAAGTACACAGAAAAAAATAAATATGTGAAAAAAACTTTATTTCTCAAAATATTTCCTTTTTATTGAAGGCAATATCTTCTGAAATGGTTCATTCGTGTACCTGTCATTTTATCAATGTCTTTTGATTCAGACTAAGATACTGTAATGTTTGTTTGTTTGAACAAGAAAAGTGAAATGTCAAATGTTAAATGTTAACAATGTATAGATTCAGACTGTACTAACTTGCACTTAAACTGAGAAGTTGTGAGAGAATGTAATGTGAGTGTTCAGATATGTCATATAATTGCTTTATTTCTGCTAAATAGTGTGTTGGTTTGTACTGCTTAAAAGAAAATAGGATTTATTAATGAATGTATCGAATGTATGTATCGACAGTATTTTTTTAAATTATTTTTTGTCAGGTTATAGGTATCTCACTGAAAACAAAATGTTAAGATGTTCTGGAAACAGCAATTGCTGAAATACTATATTAAAGAGAAAATATGAAATCTAGTCACGTCTTTGTTGATGTTAGTGAAAATGATGAAAATAATATGTATTTCTGATTTACCACAGTAGTCAACTAAAGAAGAAATGGTCTTTCACTCTCACTCTAAAAATCTGGCAAGGCAAAACAGTTAAAAGTTTTGGTCTTTAGTCAGACTGAAGATGAATCCAATAACACTGCATTCATGGCAAATGAAACCTCAACGCTGATAAGACTTTTATTAAAAATGAAACCAGGTTTGTGTGTTTTTATCTAAATTGGATCAGCTCCTGCAGTGAATTTCTGATGGGCAGTGGATTTCTGAGCAGATGCATGTAATATGAGTGATTAAAAGAAGTGAAGTGACATTTTTTTCTGTTCTATACATTTCAGTAACTTTCAGTGAACGTAATTTAAGATATACTGATATCAAATGTCAGTGTATTTCTGTAGGAACGATCTTGGATTCATGGGAACCTATGAACTGGTTTTTGGAATGACCCAGGTCTCTTCTTCTGAGATATATCCTCCTCATTTGTCAGGTATTAAATGAGCCCCTAAACTTGTACTTTCTGGTCTCAGCCACAAACATCCATTGTTCTGGAGAATGCAAAGTCTTAAACTATTAAGTCAAGAAGTCTACAACTATTTTCAGAGGCTAAGATGAAAAATAGAGACATCAAAATAGAAGAACAATGTATTGGTGAATTTTTGTTCCTTGTTCTTAACTAACTAGAGACCAAAAATCCTCCTTTCCCCCCCAGATTTTCTCTCTCCACTGTGAAAATATTGAATCAAAATGAGAAGTCATACTGGTTCAGTTGGGCTTTAGAACCTGAAACATTCTGCCTTTATGTGTCAGAACTTACCCCTTTGCAGATGGAAACTGCTTCTTTGGACATGGATTTAGGGTAGGAGACATTGTGCTCCATAATGGACTGAAAAAGTTCGTCTTCATCCTCACCATCAAACGGAGGCTGAGAAGAGAGAGAGAGAAAAAAGAGAACATATTCAACATGAAATTAAAATGAATATTAAGTATATATCCTGATATATAAATGTGGAAACTCTTGCACTCTTCACATGTGGCATTATAGAATTTAAATTAAGCTTACCCTTACAAAAAGTACAATTGCGCTAGCATAAAATATACCATGCATTATTCGAAGGACCTTATAGTACCATTTAAATACCATGAAAGAGTACCATGATATTACCATCTTGATACATCACTGACAACTGGTACCACCAGAGTGCTTTAAAAAAAAAAAAAAAAAAAATTTTATTT